CGAAATTCTGGACCGAAGTTCACTTGTTCAGGAATCTTCAGTCCACGTGGTCATAAGCTTTTTCAAAATCAATAAACACTATTGCTGCGTTTTGCTTCATTTGTCGTGCTAGTTTGATCAATTCATTGATCAATAACACATTGTCCTGGATGCTCCTGTTGTGCATGAACTCAGTTTGTGCAGGGTGGATTATCTCCTCCAAAACAGGGATCATCCTATTGGTCAGTGCCTTGGCTACAAGCTTGTATACCACCGTGAGAAGGGTGATTGGTCGATAGTTTTTTATGTTTGTTTTGTCACTTTTTTTGTACAGCAGGGTAAGGATGCCTTGACCCACAAATCCCCCCATATCTTCCGATGCCACCTGACTGTAGTACTTCATCAGCTCCTCCAACATGGGGGACCACATTTCCTCCCATAATTCTTTAGGGAGTTCACCTATCCCCATGGTTTTGTCTTCCTCCATCTATAGGAGGGCATTCCATATCTCTTATTTTCGTAGTGTTTTTTTCTAGAGCCTCGCGTTGTTCGTGTGATATCTTTTTGTGAGGGGGGCTAGAAATTCATCAATATCACCTTCCCTTGCAGGTTCTGGTTCCGCCGCCAGGTTGGAGGCAAAGAGATCTTTGTAAAAGTATCTCGCCACTCTTAGGTTGTTGGCTAATGAATATGAGGTAACCTTTCGCGTTTTGGTTAGATCCTATAGACCTCAATCTGTGTCGCTCAGTTCTCTCAGTTTTTTTCAATAATTATTCTGATTATAAAAAATTGCCAAAGTAGACGCTCTCAACATTTTGGAATAAGTTGCTAATGCATGTGCCCAAGACCTTTGGTGACTGTTAGATCTTCAGATATGTGGTGTGGAATTTTAGGGCCAAGGATAACCCCGAACCCACTATACCGCGACCCTAAGAACTCATTTGCTTCAAGCGGAGTTCGAACTTTGAACACATGTCTGTATTTCAAGTGTTCAGGGGTGTAACAACTGATGTAGGCTAGTTGGTGACTCTGGCCACATTTCAAGGAAAAGAAAAATTTGGGGGAATATCTGCGTCTTCCATTTTTGTTTTCAAGGTGAGGTCCCACCTACCTGTTCTTCTCATTTGTGACAATGGATTACCAAATCATTAGCCAAAAACAAAAGATCCATGAAGAGGGCCCAAGCATCAGGTCCCATCATCTGAAACGTTGTGCACAGGGGAAGCTAGTGGAGGGAGCGCCATACTCAGCTTTGGATCCCTGCTGATCCAAGTCACCGGGTGACTAGCAGTAAAAGAGCAGTAGATAATAGACGATAGGGTATTTTGAGTAACATTTCATTGATTTTATTTTATTTTCTCCTTCAAAAAGTTTAGGTTGTTGCTCAGGCATATGACAGTCCCTTCGGCAGTTGGTCATTTGATCATCCAAATGATTTTCTATACAGGCCCCCAATGAGACTCCCTCCCACCTTTACCCGTGATTACTGTCCCTGGCGCATTCCTACTCCCAAGGTCCTACCTTAGTGTTTCTGCCACCCAGTATCATCACCCTTTTCTAGTGGCCTAATGGACAATGGTATCGCGGCTAAGCAGGTCCTCGCCGCTATCCCCAACCTGATTGAAGCATAGTCGGACGAGCCCTGTCGTATGGGTACTTCAAGCACTAGGGGTAGACATTCTACTACAAGCGCCATAGGTGAACCCTTTTTCCCTTGTTAGAGAGATCCTAGCCTTATCATCATCAGATCCCTTTGGTTATTATCTTGTTTGACTACGTAGTTGTAGATCTCAGGTGAGGTCTTTCCTTTCCGGTTTCTTATGGTTTTGTGGCCTTGTGGATCGTTTGTTTCCCACCAACTAACTGGATCTGCAGCATGAGTCCAACGTCCTCCCCCGTGCAAGCACGGATTCAAACCGGCGACCTAGACCTCAAGAGCCAGGTATCTTAACCACTACAGCCAGATCAGTTGTTTCCCAGGACTGGAACTGTCAGAGCAGCGGTTCGTTATTGACCATTTTTGCTACTGGATTGACTTACGGTGAGGGCACGGGTGCGCAACCCGTAGTTTGTTTGCTGATGTGGTTGGGGAAGGGTAAGGTAATGATTATGTTGTGTGTATGTTTTGCTATGTTCGCTATGCACAATGTGAAGAATGTGTGTGTGGGGTCCCGAATGGTGCTTTATTCAAGATATTCATGGGACACTGGACCCAGTTTCCAGCAGGTGCCGCTTCCCACCAATAGACAGGAGAATGTGTGTGGCATGTGTGCACACACGAGCGCGCGCGCGTATGTGTTTGTGTGTGTGTGTGTGTGTGTGTCTGTGTGTGTGTGTGTGTGTGTGTGTGTGTGTGTGT